CTGAGCTATGCCATTTTAAGTGCCTTTTTGCACCTTGTATAACCTGATTATATAATTTAGCTAAAGGAACATAATAAGATTTAAGAAGATGAGAAAAGGAACTGTGTAATTCCTGTATATGTTCTTAAAAGCTGATGTATGTTCGTAAAATCTGCTTGTTTTGCAGGATATATTCTTCTGGGTCACTGTTCCCTTGTTAATAAGGGGAAGTACGCATATAATGATATCACAAGCATAAGCAATATTTTTGTGTGGGGTATTTTTTACTAGAAAGATGGGGAGTTTCCAGGGGGCAAAACATGTGCTAAATATGTTATATAAGATCTGAAACTGGGCTCTAGGGACTTACTTACATCCTGTTGTATTAGATCTATGTATCCTGAAATTTGTATATAAGATCCGTAAGTAGAAGGCTTAATTGCTTTCTCTTCCTATGAGAGAAAGACACTTTGCAAAGTTATAATAAACTCCTGTCTTGGTCTGTTCATAGTCTCTGTTTTTATTCCTAAAAAGGTACACGCTGGTTTCCTGAATACCACATTAAGTGAGCATTGCCCCCTTTTATGACCTTTCTTGTCACAGTTGTCAAGTGAATCACTGCAGGTATTAAATTAGTATCATAGTTGTAAGTGAATCTAGCTTTCCCATTGACTTTGCTTGTCAGAAGATTGGTGACACTGTAACTGTCATAAGTATAAATCAGTTGCTGATTTTGATCCCTTGACTATGGGGATGCTGCAATAGTCATGATAAAAATATTGTCGTCGCAGCGATCAGAAAAGGGACGTTCAGGTAAGCCAATGTCTGTTTTTTAAATTTCTCTTGCCTCCTGTAGCTTTGGAGTTGGTTTTCAATTTTTGACAGAATGCCAGCAGCCCCCTAATAGGAAATTTAGACTTTATTTCCTTACTCAATAACTTCACTCACTAAACAAACTGTAGCTGTTAGATTAGAATAGTACATGAAATCAATAAAACAAGGATTGTACATAGAACAATATCAGACCTCTGAAAAGTATAAGCATGCATATGTACTCAGTACTTGGTTTGGGCCCTTTTTGCATCAATTACTGCCTCAATGCGGTGTGGCATGGATGCTATCAGCCTGTGGCACTGCTGAGGTGTTATGGAAGACCAGGATGCTTCAATAGTGGCCTTCAGCTCTTCTGCATTGTTTGGTCTCATGTCTCTCATCTTTCTCTTGGCAATGCCCCATAGATTCTCTATGGGGTTCAGGTCAGGCGAGTTTGCTGGCTAATCAAGCACAGTAATCCCATGGTCATTGAACCAGGTTTTGGTACTTTTGGCAGTGTGGGCAGGTGCCAAGTCCTGCTGGAAAATGAAGTCAGCATCCCCATAAAGCTCATCTGCGGAAGGAAGCATGAAGTGCTCCAAAATCTCCTGGTAGACGGCTGTGTTGACTCTGGACTTAATGAAACACAGTGGACCAACACCAGCAGATGACATGGCTCCCCAAATCAACACAGACTGTGGAAACTTCACACTGGATTTCAAGCATCTTGCAATGTGTGCCCCTCCATTCTTCCTCCGGACTCTGGGTCCTTGGTTTCCAAATTAGATGCAAAAGTTGCTCTCATCAGAAAAGAAGACTTTGGACCACTGAGCAACAGACCAGTTCTTATTTTCTTTAGCCCAGGTAAGACGTTTCTGACATTGTTTGTTTTTCAGGAGTGGCTTGACAAGAGGAATACGACATTTGAAGCCCATGTCCAGGATCCGTCTGTGTGTGTTGGCTCTTGATGCACTGACTCCAGCCTCAGTCCCCAACTTGTGAAAGTCCCCAACACTTTTGAATGGCCTTTTCCTGACAATCCACTCCAGGCTGCCGTCATCCTTGCTGTTTGTGCATCTTTTTCTTCCACACTTTTCCCTTCCACATAACTTTCTATTAATGTGCTTTGATACAGCACTTTGGGAACATCCAACTTCTTTTGCAATTACCTTTTGAGGCTTTCCCTCCTTATGGAGGGATTCAATGATGGTTTTCTGCACAACTGTCAGGTCACAGTCTTTCCCATGATTGTGATTCCTACTGAACCAGACTGAGAGGTCATTTAAAGGCTCAGGAACCCTTTGCAGGTGTTATGGCTTAATTAGCTGATTAGAGTGGGACACTTTGAGCTTAGAATATTGAACCTTTTCACAATATTCTAATTTTCTGAGATTGTGAATTTGGGGTTTTTATGAGCTGTAAGCCATAATCATCAAAATTATGACAAATCAAGGCTTGAACTATCTCGCTTTGCGTATAATGCTTTGAGTCCTCAGTACCTGGAGGAAACGTCTTATCTAGATCCGTTCCAGTCTGGTTTCAGGCCCAGGCACAGCACGGAAATGGCATTGGTCACGTTGGTTGATGATCTCTGGAGGGCTCGGGACAGGGGTTGCGCCTCTGTTCTGGCCCGGTTAGACCTCTCAGTGGCTTTTGATACCATCGACCATGGTATCATGCTGCACTGGTTGGAAGAGTTGGGGATGGGGGGGCACCATGTTACGGTGGTTCTCCTCCTTTCTCTCAGACCGGTCGCAGTTCATGTTGGCAGGGGGGCAGAGGTCGACCTCGAGGCCTCTTATATGTGGAGTGCCTCAGGGGTCGGTCCTCTCGCCCCTCCTGTTCAACATTTATGTGAAGCCGCTGGGTGAGATCATCCGTGGCTTTGGGGCGAAGTACCACCAGTACGCTGATGACACCCAGCTGTACATCTCCACCCCAGGCCACCCCAACGATGCCCTTGAAGCGATGTCCTGGTGCCTGGAGGCTGTGCGGATCTGGATGGGGAGAAACAGGATCAAGCTCAACCCTTCCAAGACTGAGTGGCTGTGGTCCCGGCATCCCGATATAGTCAGTTGACTCCATCACTGACTATTGGGGGCGAGTCTTTGGCCCCCTTGGAGAGGGCTCGCAATCTGGGAGTCCTCCTGGATACGCAGCTGTCCTTGGAGGAACATCTGACGGCTGTTGCCAGGGGGACTTTTTGTCAGGTTCGCCTGATCCGCCAGTTGCGACCCTTTCTTGATCGGGATTCCCTGTGTACAATCACTCATGCCCTCATCACCTCTCGCCTGGACTACTGCAACACTCTCTACATGGGGCTCCCCTTGAAGGGCACCCGGAGGCTCCAACTGGTCCAGAATGCGGCCGCGCGGGTAGTCACGGGAGCTGCATGGCGCTCCCATATAACACCACTCCTGTGTGAGCTGCACTGGCTCCCAGTGGTCTTCCGGGTGTGCTTCAAGGTGTTGGTTATCACCTTTAAAGCGCTCCATGGCATAGGACCTAGTTATCTTCGAGACCGCCTGCTGCTACCGACGGCCTCCCATCGACCTGTGCGCTCCCACAGAGAGGGCCTCCTCGGGGTGCCATCAGCCAAACAATGTAGACTGGTAACCCCCAGGGGGAGGGCCTTCTCTGTGGGGGCACCTACCCTCTGGAATCAGCTGCCCCCAGAGATAAGGAGAATCTAAAACCTCGGTGCCTTCCGCTGTGCCTTTAAAACCTTCTTTTTCCAGCAAGCCGGGCTGGCCTAATTTTTTTAAGTGTTTTTAATTGTTTTGTCTATCGTTTTTAATTAATGGGGCCAAATTTATATATATCTTTTTAATTGTATTTTAATATTTGTACTTGATGTTTTTACTTGGCTGTTCACCACCCTGAGTCTTCAGGGAGAAGGGCGGTATACAAATTCAAAATAAAATAAATAAAAAATAAATAAAATAATGAGTCTATTTCATATATTAGTTTCACCTTTTAAGTTGCATTACTGAAATAAATGAACTTTTGCATGATATTCTAATTTTTCGAGTTTCACCTGTAATTGTTAAGCTCTTATACTTCATCAGCATATTCTATGATTTCCTAATCCACAGTGCTTGATCTTACTACTGTTTCCTATATACATTTAAATCTTACTTAATAATTTAAAATAAATTTAGTTCTATCTTTTGAGACAGTACAAATAAGTAACTGCAATATTAATTTATTTTAAAAACATACGTCACAAAATAGTGTATCTTGTACATGCCAGATTTTAAAATTCATGGGATACTTGAGAACAGAAGCATTATATCCTGAATAATAAGCTACTGTTTTGATGAATTCCTGAAAAGAGTTAAGAATAGCATCCTTAAAAGGCAAAGCAGCACACCAAGATACATGCTCAGTTGTGATATGATGTACAGGACTACAACAGTATTGTATACAAGTATGTTCAAATCAGATTATAGTTCTTAGAACTAAATAATCTACAGAACTAAATAATCTTCATGTGAATAATCTAATCACATGAAATTGAGTTGATCTTCAACTCCCATAATACTCAACCAAAAGCAAATCAAATCTGGAATTATGCGACTGCAGGGCTAAGATATCTGGACGGTATTAGGTTGAAAAAACCTGCTGTTGACCAGCATTATTGCCTATGTTATATGTTAAAAGTTGAGATATGAATAATCATTGCTCTTCCGGTCCTCTTTTCTAAGTGAAGTTTAAAGCATTGTTTAAGAATGTAACTGGTTCTGAATCTAGCAACTGTAATTTTCTGTTTCAGACAAATAGAGAGCAGTGCTTCACAACTGACACTTTTGAATTTGGGCATGAAAGCAAAGATTGGTATAGCATGTATACATTTCAATAAAAATACTTCCTGTTAATCATTTTTAGTGTCCTATTGAAGTATTTCATTCAAAACTAATGAAAATATCTATCTAATGATAATACCTTTTTGGCCAATCGAATAGTTGGATGCAGTAAGTTTGTTTTATACTTTAGTCTGAAAATATAGTACATTCGGGAGATGCAGTGTTTCAGATCCAATGACAAAAGGTACTTTGGAGTAAGCATTGGCATTATCTTGACTCAATGCTTATTTTCCTGGAAATATTATGCAACTATCAGACAACCCTAAGAAAACACACACAAAGTGTCAACAGTGTGCATCCTTGCTTAATAGTACATTTTCAGCTTCTTGGGACCCAAAATGCTGGTCATCCTTCAGTAGGTCAATGTCAGGAAGTGATTATTTCTCTCTCTTAAACTTCAAGTCTCTTTCCTGATGGAGTAATAGAATACAGGGTTACAATGGGGCATTTTTCCATGTGCACATATGTGTGCATGCATACTATTGAACTAGTACAATCATTATTGGTCCTCTTCTATACAGTAAATAAATTTCAAACAGCTCAGGCATATAGAGCTTCTATTGAAATGCAGGCAGAGAAGTGTCTTGTGTTGCTCTGACAATTAAGACAGGAATTTATCCACAGATGGCATTAGAAGAGACAGGCCTCTCTCAGTACAGCTATTCCCCACATCAATAGTCATTATCAGTACTAAAGACTACTTTTTGTTTGCTTACTATAAACACCGAGACTTTTTTATTTGATCCTACCAGGTATGAGAATGATGAGTCACTCTGGTTGGGAATAAAATATAGAAAAGGTGTTACTTAAGCATCTTTCCTCAACCCAATGCCTTCCCAATGCCATCCAACAATAGTGCCCAGGAGGTATGGCAAACATATTTGATAGATGCCTTATTGGAAAAGGTTAAGCAAACTAACTTCCATTGTCACATTCTTTTTTTAATTGTAAATAATACACCAACAAGTACCATGTTTCCCCAAAAATACGACCTTCCCGAAAATACGACCTACCTAAAATCAAGCCCTAGCTTGATTTCCTCACCTGCGCCCAATATAAGCCGTTCCCCCAAAATAAGCCTAGTTAAGCCCACACTCACTATCTGGTTGTACAAAGTGGGGCATGCATAAAAGTCAAATTAGGGGGTGGGGGGGATGGAGCTGCCTCAGGTGCCCCATACCTGCTTAGCTTAGGACTGCTGCAGCCAGGTCTCCCACAGCCTGATACCTGTTGCGCTACTGGCTAATTTCTTCTATGGCTGCTCACAGTTGGACACCATGTGGTGCATTGCCTCAGTGCTGCCACTTATGTGGCATTTTGTGCCAATGCCGCCGCTCATGGAAGGATGCCACGAGACTCATCATCCCGGTGCCACCATGTGGCATGTCATGCTGGTGCCTCTGTGTGGCACATCGCACTGGTGCTGCTGCTTGCAACATGATGCCACGAGGCTTGTCGCGCCAGTGCCAATGCGTGGCTCATCATGCTGGTGCTGATGCTTGTGGCATGAGGCTGTGAGGCTGTGAGCCTCATTGCGCTGGTGTTGCTGCTCAGGGCAGGAGCTATGTGGCATTATTATTATTATTATTTATTAGATTTCTATACCGCCCTACTCCCGAAGGACTCAGGGCGGTGCACAGCCAAACAATAAAAACACATACAATACAAAATTTAAAAAATAGAATAAAATCAAATTAAATAATTTTGGCCCCGACAAATTTAAAACCCCAAACTTTTAAAACCAATTTAAAATTGAATATATAAATACTAAAAAATATTTAAAATTTTAAAAATCTTTTATAAAAGAGGGGGAAAATTAGGCCAGGCCGGCCTGGTGAAATAGTAAGGTCTTTAAGGCGCGGCGGAAGGTGCGCAGATCCGGGATCCTCCGTATCTCTGGGGGGAGCTCGTTCCAGATAGTAGGTGCCCCCACAGAGAAGGCTCTCCCCCTGGGGGCCGCCAGTCGGCATTGTTTGGCTGACGGCACCCGGAGGAGCCCCTCTCTATGGGAGCGTACCGGCCGGTGGGAGGCTATTGGTGGTAGTAGGCGGACCCGCAAGTACCCGGGTCCTAAGCCATGGAGCGCTTTAAAGGTGGTAACCAAAACCTTGAAGCGCACCCGGAAGACCACCGGGAGCCAGTGCAGCTCGCGCAGGAGAGGTGTTACATGGGAACGCCATGTCGCTCCCATTACCACCCGCGCGGCCGCACTCTGCGCCAGTTGGAGCCTCCGGGTGCTCCTCAAGGGGAGCCCCATGTAGAGAGCATTGCAATAGTCCAGGCGGGAGGTGACAAGGGCATGAGTGACCGTGCGTAAAGAGTCCCGATCCAGAAAGGGACGCAACTGGCAAATCAGGCGAACCTGATGAAAAATCCTCCCGGTCACGGCCGTCAAGTGCTCTTCTAAAGACAGCCGTGAGTCCAGGAGGACGCCCAAGTTGCGAGCCCTCTCCGTGGGGGCCAATGATTCGCCCCCAATAGTCAGTGATGGCGTCAACTGACTATATCGGGACGTCGGAAACCACAGCCACTCAGTCTTGGATGGGTTGAGCCTGAGCCTGTTCCTCCCCATCCAGATCCGTACGGCCTCCCCCAACATAAGCATGTTGTACTGATGCCAATGCTCACGCATGCAGTGGCACAATGCCCATGCAGCCTCTTGCTGCAAGCAGTGGCATCGATGTGACAAGCCATGCGGCATCTGGCTGCAAGCAGCTGCAGAAGAAGTTGGGCAGAAGTGTGACGGATATCAGGACATGGGAGGCCTGGCTGCAGTGGTCCTAAGGTAAACGGATAAGACATCCCCCCAAAATAAGACTTGGTGCTTCTTTTGGGACCCAAAAGAAAATAAGACCGGGTCTTATTTTCGTGGAAACATGGTAGTATTTTAAGACAACCTCATCGTTATAACTCTCTACTTTTTGTTACCTCATATGGTCTAATTTTTTCCTGGAATTCATTTGATGCTATGGTTTTCTTCAAAAGCTCTATGTAGCGTGGACATTGAAAAATTGGATAGCGTAATTTCTGAAATAAAAAAATGAGACTGTAGTATGCTGTTACTAATTTTTTGTTCATGTTTAAGATTTTTCTTGATAATTCTTTGCACTGGGTTTGGACACAGTATTAAACCTTGCTTCTTTACCAATGCTTTTTTGAAAATTCCATAATCACCCTGATTCACATATAAAATATCATAAACTGAGGATTTGCCTCACGATGGTGGTGTCATGATACTGCAAACATCTAAATGGGATTATTGGGATTCCCACAAATTATTATTGATGAATGGCTGTATGTCCACTCACCTTCACAAAATTTCAGCCATTAAAAAACAAATGGTATGTTATCCATACCAGTGGTGGGTTGCCCCCGGTTCGCATTGGTTCTATAGAACCGGTAGTAAAACTGGCAGGAGCCTCCGCCCACCGATCCCGACATCCTCAAAACGCTTCTGTGTGGCCCTGCTGCGAACCAGTAGTAAAGGTAAGTAGAACCCACCCTTGATCCATACCATTTTGCATGCTACATTTGGAAAAATAGATACCTCTTCCGAAACCCAATAAACTGCAAGCCAAAATGTCTAATGTTCCCACATCATAGTAAACCTCAACTTTTACTAAGGGATTCATAATTATTATAGGTGGGAAGGTCATAGTTTTTGGTAGTCACAGGATCTCAGTTTCAGAACTCCTATTTTAAGCCAAGGTCAAATTATACTGTATGGCTTCCTGTGATATTGAATCAAGGAATTTTGAAGAAAAGTGGGAGCTAGGGCTGGAAAAAGAAGCAAAGTCACTAGCAGTATTTCATTTTGCATCTAAAATCATCAACGTTCTATCAAAGCTACACATGGTCCTCCTGTAATGCTAACAATTGGAACAGGCAACTCATTTGTTAAATGAAACCGGAATTGTCCTTATGATCATACTTCAGTTTTGCTTTGCTTTACAGATCTGCAAAGGTCATAAATGTGAGGATTAGCTGTAAAGTTACTTTTTCATCATCTCCATAACTGTGAATGGTTCAGTGGTGGGCTGCTGCCTGTTCAGATCGGTTTGGGTGAACCGGTAGTTGCAACTTGCAGGTGGGCCTGCCCACCCACCCTGGTGCTATGCCATCCTATTTAGCCACATTTTTTTAAAACCACGCACATGCGTGCAAGCCGTATGCACTCACATTTTCAGTGTTGGGCAAACCAGTTGTTAATTTATGTACCATCCACCTCTGGAATGGTTACTAAAGAGTCAATCCACCAAATGACTATTATAATCAGTATAATAGTCCAGTTTCTAGTGCATGGAAATATAACTGTAGATAGATTAAATGGATTGTACTGCATTGCTGGCTATATTACGTAAAAATATCAAGATATAGTTCAAACAAGAACAGAACATGATTAGACAATTATAATTTTCTGAATTGCTTTTAATCAACAACTAAAATGTTCAGTAACAAGAATGTGGGAAAGGAACTTATTTTTTTATAGTATTTTGCAGAAATTGTAGAACAACATACTAACCCATGAGCAGAATAGACTATGTATGTTCCTGCACCCCTCTAATCTCATAAATGTTACTAAAGTATGAAACTGCTTGAGGAACAAAGAAATTAGAGGCCTCTGTTGGACCAAAACTGGATTTAACCAGAATTTACTGGCATGGTAATTGACTTAGAGACAAATAGTTGTTAGAGGTAAATTGTAAATAAGGGATAGGGAAAATGTATTCATTTTAGGTGCCTCAGATAGATTATGAATGCCTAATTTTTCAGCCAATGAGGAAAAGGTGGAAGGTAAACCTGTGATGGTGATAGGGAATATAAAGAAAGTATATTAATGACTTAAGATATGTCCACTGTACTTACGTGTACGTGATACACCCTCCTTGAAAAGTAGTAAATAAAATTACCATTGATTTCTTTTATAAGTTTTGGCTTGCAATCATGTTAAACTAGACCACAAACCCCATAAGAAGACTACAGTTGGACTTCCGGTGGTGACATCATCACGGAGCGGGAGAGGGAGCTCCGTACCCAAAATCCCAAAAATTCTCCACCAGGAGCTCTTTATGGGCAATTCCAATCCTGTAGAGATCAGAAAACTAAAGAGGAAGTTCTGAAGACTCCGGACAAAAGGCAATCAATCAGGTGGATAGGAGCAAACCTCTTATATCCCGTGGAGGAGGAGTCGGCCTTTAAGGCAGATCAAGAGTGATGGCGCCTGGCCTTGTCTTCGGCGACGGCGGCGCTCTTTGAAGCTCCGCCAGCCCCGCCGCCTGTAGAGCCGCTTCGAGACGAAGAAGCGGCTCGAAAACTTCTAAATCCACAGGATTGAAGAAGGAGAGATCGCAGGGCACAGGTTGAGCCCCTGTAACCCCCCAGGGAAGTTTCTGGGGAGAGAACAGGCGTGGCTCCCTCCCAACCTGCTGGAACTCCGGGCGACGTGGGACGATTCTGCTTTTGCAGAACAAGCCGGCTGCAGGAAACTTAAAGCGAAAGAACCAGCTTTAATAAACAGCGAAACTACCTGAATCCTGAAATTTGGAAACGCAAGTATTAGCACTTTGTTGACTTTTCAATCTGAGAAAATGCGAATGAGTGAAAGTGCTTTGAAAAAACATGGCGCCTAGCTTCAGAGTTAACGAGCCAGCGAGTGTGGATTGGTGAAGTTATTTTGTTTTGCTACAAAGTTTCCAAGTTGCTACTAAGCTGCCTTGCTTGTTATAAGAGAAATAACTGGGAAATTTTTTCCCTTTTCAATATTGGACTTTGCTTTATTTTAACCCTTGTTTGATCAAATCTGGGGGACTTTTTTAGAAGTCTTTGTGCTGGAGGGAAAGGAAAAGGAACCTCCCTCTTTAGAAAAACTAGATCACGAGCCAGGATGGCTTCAAAGAAGCAGGAAGGGAAGGCATTAGGGGGGGGGATCCCCCACACACAAACATCAAACGCAACTTCCCCCTGCTCAACAGCTACAAACTCAGAAAAAAGAATTTGATGTGGGAGATTTAAAAGAATTTATTTCTAAAACTCTGGATGACAAATTTCAAAAATGTCAACAGGAGATAGATGATAAACTTCAAAAATCACATCAGGAATTTATGCAGGAAATTAATGAAGTTAAAGACATGGTGAAACAGAATCAAAATAAGGTGACCAAAAAAATATCAGAAGTGGCGTCTGGCCTGGCAGAATTTATTGGGAAAGTTGATTTTAAAGTTGAAGAATTCAAATCAGAAGTTAATGTTAAGATGAAAGACAATGATTATAAAATTGATGAAGTTGACAATAAAATGCAGAGAATTGAAGATGAGATTGTTATGATACAATCCCGGGCGATGGAATTTGCCATACGGCTTCGGGGAATTCGAGAGGAGGAGAGACAGGATTTGAGACAGGTTTGCTCTGAAGCCTTGGCTAAGATTTTACAAGCTAATCCGGATTTGGTATTTCATAAAATAGATAAAATTTACAGAGTGAACTCTTGGGTGGCCAGACAAAGACAATTGCCTAGAGATGTGGTCATATACTTTACTGAGAGAGAAATTAGAAATGATATCCTGCAAAAATCTTTTCACACTTCTGTACAAGTGGGGGGCTCACGACTTGAAATTTTTAAAGAATTACCTCCTAAAATGCTGAAAGCTAGAAAAGAATTTGGTTTTCTTGTTAAGGAATTGAGAAATTTACAGATACCCTTCCGGTGGGACGCACCAGCTGGGATAATTTTTAGATATAAGGGAGAAGGATATCGGTTGAATACCGTGGAGAAGGCACAACACTTTTACAGTACTATTCTTAAGGAAAGAACACCATCTCCACGTACATCTACAGTTTTGGAGATTAAGGAGAGTGAAGAGAGGCAATTGAAAGAACAGTCTAAGCAGGAATTAGAAAACGTGCAAGGTGCAGAAGGAGGTTTTCTGAGTGAGCCCTTGTTGGATTCTTCTCCAATTTTGGATTTGATTCAGTTGACAGAAGTTAAAGATCAACGTATAACTAGAGCCCAATCCAAGCTACTTAAACAAAAGCAACAACAACAACAGGAAAGACAAGACAAGAAGGCAGTTAAGAGTACCGTACAAGAGAGTGGAGCTATGGGAGGAGCGAGATCGAAGCTCTCGGATGAACTTCAAATATTTTGCTCTGTGCTCCAGAAAGAGGCTGATGACCTTTAAGTGTCTATCTTGGAATGTCAATGGGTTGAATTCAGCACAGAAAAGGAAGAAATTATTTACATATTTGAAACAATTTAATAATGATATAATATGTTTACAAGAAACGCATATCACAACTCAAGATCAAAAATATTTGATAAACTCAAAACTAGGAGCACATTATATATCTTCAACTTCGCAGAAAAAGAATGGTGTGGTTATTTATGTAAATAAAAAATTAACAGCGAAAGTTATAGAAGCAGATCAAGATGGTAGGTTTGTAGCAATTGAATTGCTCACAGCAAATGGTCAAATTCTTTTGATTGGAATTTATGCTCCCAACCAACAACAGGATTATTTTTATAAGATGTTACATACTAAAATATTGCAATGGGACTATAGATCTATTTTAATTATGGGAGACTGGAATGGAGTAATTGATTCTAAACTAGATAAAAAGAGCTTGGCAAAGTCTAGAATTAGACTACCACAGACTTTTTTTGATATGAAAGAAGATATGGAATTAAAAGATGTTTGGAGAATACATAATCCAAATGAATTGGACTACACTTTTTTTTCGGATAGACATAGATCTTTTTCTAGGATTGATTTTATCCTGTTGTCAAATGATCTACTTGTTAAGACAAAAAGAACAAAGATTTGTCCAAGAACTCTGACTGACCATAGCCCTGTATGGATAGAAATTGAGATGGATAAGGTTGAGAGACGTTCTTGGAGATTAAATGAGAACTTCTTTAGATATGAAAAAAATACAATAGAACTTAAAAAGCATTTGAAAGAATTTTTTGAAATAAATTTGAATAAAGGTACCCCAATTGAAATTGTTTGGGATGCAAGTAAAGCTTATAT